TCTCTCCACACTCAGTATAGTATGGTCCCTTTTTGTAGATGCCCACCCCCCAGACAAGTTCTTAAAAAAAGCCCTGTGTTCAAATCATTTCGCTGTATGAAGACGGGCCATGGGTTAGGGTTATGGTAGGACAAATGTTGCATTGCAGTAGTAACACATAATATATATTTTTTAATCATATATGGTTGAATCATATTCACCATGGTAAAACATCATGAGCTAGATTTAAACAGATTGTCCTAATATCTAACTTTACCTGCAATGCACGCCTGTTTCATTGCTGTTAATTTTTCAATCCACACTGGGGGAGGGGGGAGGCGTCAGAAAAGTTTCTACTTTTAAGAGGGGGGAGGCACAAAAGGTTTGCCTTCAGTCTGGAGAGGAGGGGTCAACGAAGTTTTTAATCCTTATTTTCCTCATTTACCAACCCCCCTCCCCATAAATAATGACCACTCCCTTAATTTGTTTATATTAATTATATATGATACATATGATAATACAATAAAAACTTGTTTTATTGCTTTAAAACAAGTGGAGCTCTCTGATGGTTTGAAATGGGCTGTTATGACACTGATTTGTCCATGCTGAGGATTCCGCAGCTCGATTTGCCACAAAAACCCATAGATATCTATGCAAAAACCCCAGGATCAGGCGATCAGCTCGTCTTGAAATACGTACACGATCCAGTCGCGTCGGCCAGACAACAAAACTTTGAAAATCGCACAGATATAAACTCTACAAAAATATTAAAACAACTCCTAAGTCTTCTAAATAATATTTTAGCACTTTAACAAAAACTCATTGAAAATATCATCTTTGATGGCGCGAATTCTTTCCACGGTATTAGATGCCATTTTAGCGAACGTCGAGTTGACAGTAGTCACTTCAACGCTCAATATCTCGAAAACTGCCGGGGGATCACCGGGATCATTCCAGCAGATTTAAAGCTTATACTTTTGTCTTGACGACTACTAATCGAACCATGGGAATTCTAGATATTTCATTTTAAACATTGTAAACATATTTAGACTTGAGTCAACACGTCGCGAGGAGTCCACTAACTTCAAACATCAAAATAACATTGAAAATAAAGTTTACCTCAGAGATTTTTGCAGATATCACCAGATCTTTAGTAGTAGTACTACAACACCTTGAGATTTTGCAAGAATATTTTAATATTAATATTTTTTTCCGATTTATTTTCCGTCGAATGCAAATGTTTCTGTCCAAATTCTGCAGATAACACGATGCAAAATAGAGCGATCTCATTGGTCGAGAGCTCACGTGACAACTCGCTAATTAGCTGTCCAACTTCCTCTGCCGTCAACACAAATAAATGCAAACTAACCGTGATCTGGTGTTTCGCTTCCTCTACCGCGATCTGATAACGCTCAAAAGCATTTCTTCCGGCATTTGTAGCTGCTACTGTTCCCTGTTGAAGCTTATTCTTACAACATGCCTTCTTCGTTCCATCCACATGAATAGCCATCCGCACATTTGAGCTCCTCGTCTCGGCATGGCCATCCTCGTTGCTTTCTACCGCTGCGTTTGCTACACGTATTTTTGCAACTACAAAACTGAAATGAAACGAACTTGATCAATAAATATACGGAACATTTACTCTATCAAACTATTTATCATAAATCAAACAACGAGGAAACTAAGGGTATTTATACTCACTTGCGTTCTACCCTGGTCAGCTTGTATAATTAAACTAGATTCACCAACAGCTGTGCTTCTTGCGCCGTGTATGTCGGTGATCCGTACGCATTTAGATCGTCCTCTGCATCGTACTGCGACACATTCAAATCTTGATTAGACTCTGATTCAGACATTTTATCAAAAAAAAATACTAAAATGTTCTTCGAAAGGACCAAAATTTGTGAAAAATTAACGCAAAAGACGCAAAGTTATGCAAATTGTAAAGCGAATGTGCACGTGACACGGAAATTTCCCGTATGTAAACATAAACAAAAAGCGCGCAAAGCATTACTCTGAGACTCATTCTTTAACATGAGAAGATAAAAGTCATATCTTCAAGCCAACGTGTAATGTTCCGTTTATTATATAGTCCCAAGTAAAAAATTGTATTAATACTAAAAGTCACGTGATCAATATCTTCACTAGCGAAGATATGGAAAATATCTCACTGTGTATTTTTCAATATCTCACTCTCTACTATATAATAAATAAGCTTATCGGGAGATACTTTACCATCATTTAATTTGTTTACCTGTACTTTAATTCTTACTTATCCGCCTATTATAACTGTCAACTACAACTTTACCCATTCTGATGTTGTGTAGGCTGCAGCGGCTCTCTTTGACAACATTGGGTCCGACAGGCGACAAGACAAAACTTTGTCTTACTAAATCTGTATTACCCGTGTTATATTATGGAGCTTAAAGGCACAGTTCAGCCTGTTGAGCGATGGTTTTTAAGGCACATTTCAGCCCTGTTAATTGAAAAAACTAACTAGGAAAATCAATTAAGCATAATTCAAAATCAGTAAACTCGATGTTTTTAACGATATGAATGTTTTAAAATGTTAAAAACATTAAGATTGGTGATTTTGAATTATGCTTAATTGATTTTCCTAGTTAGTTTTTTCAATTAACAGGGCTGAAATGCGCCTTAAAAACCATCGTTCAACAGGCTGAACTGTGCCTTTAAGCAAACGACGTTTTTGTCAACACGGACGTCAGATTGCCGAGGGGGGCTGGATTAAAAACTGTGTTTGTATCAGTTTGTGGTAATCTTCAACACATATGATAAAACGTGAGATTTTTAAAGTTTTTTGCTTCCTCGCATGAGTGCTATGATGCAAAACGCCTCCAGTATTAGTGATACCAATTTTCAGATGACGTCCGTCCGTGTAGACAGAAACGTTGCTTGCTTAAGCTCACTAATCCCTCGATAGTCCTAACCCAGGCTTGGTCCTAACCACAGCAAAGATGATTGTCAACTAACGAATTCAAAACTGGCAAAGTAAAAACGCCTTTAGCATTAGCCACTTACCAGTATTGAGCCACATCTTTACACTCTTTATGTCAAACACCTTGGACGAGCGTTTGTCCGACCGGCAAATTGCAGGTGATTCATCGTTGTAGAATCTCTGAAGGTCACTAAGCTTCCAGAAGTGGCGGTGCCCACAACGGTCTAGATGACACTGGATCTTATGATGACGAGAACATCTTCTTTCTTCTTTACCAAAGCAGCAGGTACATTCCACTTCGAGGTCATAGCTGGTCATGCTGAATAATAGTTGGTCTGGAGATTTAAGGTCGTCCAAACACTTTTTCAGAGTGGCTTTGAGATTACTGGCAAACTTGAAATGGTTGCCACCATGCTTTGGAAAAACGGCAACCTTAATGAACTCGTGGAGGTCGATTAAACAAACATCATACACGTCGTCGCCGTCTATAATAAGTGGAAGCAAAGAGTAGTTGCAGCAGAAGGAAGGCGTGGCTTGTTGATTGGGGAAGCGCTTTTCCCACTCAGAAATTAATTTCACTTGAAGCTTCGTAAACAGGCTCATCGGCACAAGTTGGCGAGGAAATGTCACAAACAGCGATGGAACATTTAACTCCATTTTGCTAGCTTCCAACTCCATTCCTGGTTTCATAGCTGGGGCAACTGAAGGGACACAAAAAGCTGCCTTTCCATCGTGCTGGCAAGGACAAATCAAGTTAAACTTTTGCATAAGCTCTTTTAAAAGTTCTGCGTCTTCCAGCGTCTCAAGATATTCTTGAAACATAATGCCTTTCTGCTTGAATACATCAAGAGCGTGCCTGGACAAGGCATCCAATTTGCCAGGCATGGAGATCACTTTCGTAAAGCGATTCATTAACCAGGGAGGATCCAATACAACCTTGCTGGATCCACTGTGGTGTACGACCACTCCTTGGCGGTGTAGAAATTTGATAGCATGATCAAACTCCCCAACGCCACAGGCCTCCGCTTCTTGCTTAGCTTCGTCAACTGGGATATACTTGCTATCTGGGGATAGCTTCTGGCTTAGAGCAGCTTCAAAATCTAGCCACTTCACAGGCATTAAAATCTCCTGGTTAAGTACTCCATTCGACAGGTCAAAAAGCTTTCTACGAAGCTTTCGCACGTCGTCTCCGTCGTCGCCTTCCAATGTATTGTCGATCAGGAGAAACTCTGGGACAACATTCTCATATTTTCCTCCAGACAAGACCTTCTTGATTTTCTTTTGTACGCAATCTATTTTGCTGTCGTTGTCTTTCACCTGATCACTGTGAGTTAAGGCTATTAAAACAGGTGGCAGTTTAAAGTTCTCACCCTTTGCAGTGGTAAAGTGACCAGATTTATCAGGAAACTGTTGATCTTGGCATTCTCCTAAACCTTGCAGGAACTTCAACCATGATGTAAAATTATCTAAATTGGTATTCAGATGAGGATTGTTCATCTCTATCTCTTCCTCTTCATTACTTGTTTTAAATTTGGGAACGGCGGGTTTATCAAACTCCAGAGAAAGGTCGTAAACCAAAACATAAGGGCAATGCGGTTTCACAAAGCAGCCATGGGTATCGTAATAGATTGACTGTCCAGCAAAGTCACTTACAAATACCCGAAGAACTTCGTTCTGGTCGTGTTCAGTGGACCTCTGCAATTTGATTTTGGAGATTTCTTTTCTTAATAATGGCTTCACTGGCATCACTGGCTTCACTGGCATCTCTGGCTTTACTTGCATCACTGGCATCACTGGCTTTACTTGCATCACTGGCTTCAATGGCTCTGGCGCATCCCCTTCCAAATTCCTCTGAACTCCTCCATCAAGATACTCGGCAGTTTTTTTGTATAATACAGTCTCTGCCTCGCTTTCACTGGTCATAAACTTCTTCACTTCTGTCTTTTTCCAGGGATCTTCCGCGTTTTGTTCTGTTAGCTCGATAACATTAACGTCAATACCAGTGGTACTGGGTTGATCTTTGTTGAATGGTAATCCTAAAAGACGTCTCATCAGCGACGTCTTTCC